ATTTCAGAATTCCTCCACGAGATGCCATTGTACATCACTCAACCCGCGAAATACACACACTCAGTACATAGCTAGACCCGCGAATTTGCGGGCCAGGAATTCGCTGGCACAGCTGTAGCTACGTGTGTGTGTTTATGTTGACAAGGAGGTTTAATAACTGTGTGCTACATAAAACGTGCAGTTGGTTTCATTTTCATCTCCGTTTGTAGTAGAGTTAGCAGGGTATTTTTATTTTAACTCTCGTCCCAAATTCGTCCCAAAATTATTTTGTATCCTCCCCGACACTATTTGTTTCGGCCCCGGGACGACGGGACGTCCTTAAGCTCGAGCCCTGCCCCCCACGGTAGAGCCTCTCCCCCCCAGCTGCCCCCCTAACTTTTGTTTCCCTAAAACTGTACTAAAACAAACCTACACTATTTCCACAAGCTTCTCAAGCAACAAAACAAGCATTACATTAGTTAAAAGTGAATCATTTTAAATATCATTTTAGGCCCGTTAAAAACGCAGCTACGGCCCTGCATTAAACTGCGGAGCGGCGTTCACACAGCCCGCGGCTCACACCGCTGCAGAGAGGGAGCGAGCTGTCCCAGCACCTATGGATCAGCTTCCCCTTGGAGCATTTCCCTTTCCACTAGTTTTGTTTTTACTAAGGACAAGAGCTTGAAACTAAATATTAATAAAACGCTTTAGTTTGAATCGATAGCGTTTAACAGACGGGCGCTGTTTCGGGCGTTACATTACAAAATACTACTGGGAGATCGATCACTTTGCTAAACTACGCGGTAGCCTACTATTAAATCCACGTAAACTACACATCACAGCAATGAGGCCAGATCAATGAAACCAGGATACATCCTTTACCGTAAAAACTGGATCCAAACACAGCTGCCTGTGTGCGCTTGATCAATACTTTCTGATGTTATATTTATGATATGCTACATATTAGCTAGGCTACATGGCCCTAACGTGTAAAGTTATACAAGCATTTGTACCAGTGCTTTTCACAAGTAGACTATTGCAGGCCAGAGTATAGGAGTGATTCAACAACAACAAAAAGACATATGAGAAGTGATCAGGACGAACAGAAAGAGGAAAAGAGAGATGAAGAGACCAGGAGGGTCAGAGCAGGAGGAAGAGGAGGAGATGAAGAGACCAGGAGGGTCAGAGCAGGAGGAAGAGTAGGAGATGAAGACATTAGTGAAGAAGAAGAAATATATGTGAGGAATAAAGATGAAGTATCAGAAAGAGGGCCAGAGGCAGGGATCAGGAGGCAGATGAAACTCCAGCTGGACCACATGGTATGTTCTTATTCTCGTTACATATTCCATTACAGCAGCACAATCTAGCAGCTCTTAGTATTGACACATATTGATTGAAATGTGTTGCTGCACAGGTCACCTGTAGCTCTCTGAAGAGATGGGTGATCTCATTTGTGTACTTAATTATAATTAAGTACTTACAGTATGCAGAATTCTGAGTATTCTCTGAATCGGGTGCCTTTTGGGTCTTTATATCTTTGAAATATGAAACCAAAATGTTTGGTCATAACATCTGGTAGTGGACTACTTACATTTTCCCACCTCATGCACAAAATATAAATAATTACTAGGAATTTCCTTGAAAAAATGTAACAGGGTTGAAGTTTTTGACAAAAAGTAGGCATGATACCTTGTTTAGCTAAGATATGGACAATCAAGGACATTACAAAATTGTAATATTAAGCAAAACTATTGTTTATTTTTATAATAAACAATTATTTACTATTATTAATTCATACAAAATAGTTGAAATGTTGAGCTTGTCAATCTTAATCTGAAAATACAAAAACTGAAATATAGGTAAGAGAAGAAACTGACACTTTTGTGATGTAATTCCCTCAATGCAGATCACACATGGACTGATCCATTATTTTAATAGGAGGGTATGGTATGGCGTGACGGGGTTGAAACAAACTAAGGGACAATATCGCAATTTCATAGATAATTCAAGTCTTTTTTCAGAATAGATTTTTGATCAGTTAAAGTTGACAAGCATGTGATTATATTAGCAGCAACATTTTGGGATAATTGGCCATTTTGATTTGTTTAATATTAAATTAATATGTAATAATGCTTAGTGAGGACATGCAAATATGTCTGTCTAAGACAACCAATTTTTGTGTCTGTCTAAAACAAAATATATATTTAATTTTACATTGTAATGCAAAACAACCTGTTCCATTAATTCATTGCTTTAAAATACATTTTGTAGTTTCCTTTCATTTAAAATGGTTGAGGTAAGCTTGGGGGACTCAAAGGGCACCCAATTGTTTGTCTGAACACCTTGTTTCTCTTGTGCATTAAGAACACTTGTGTTAGGGCAAGAATTAACAATAAATAGGAGTATAAAATACCACGTACTGTCCGCCATCCTATGCCACCCTGGCATGACCTCATGCCTCCCCTTTTCCCCCCCATGTAAAATGTTCTAGAACCGCCACTGTAATACTTCCAACCTGATTAGTCACCTGAAACATCCCCATCGCTACGATGGTGTGTAAAAAGCGTACGAAGACGCCTGCGCTGCTAAACTAGCGGCGAATCCAAAGCCAGCTGCAAAGGCACCAGGGCTTTTACCTATCGACGAGGCTTTTGAAAAAGGCACTTTATTTGGGAAAATAAATATGGTCACTTTGAAGAGTCAAAACTGTTCTTGGCTTTGTTTTGTTCATAGTAGTAATGCTCATGTCATTTGCTCACTACTAGTCTTTTTTTACCACCAGGTGTGCAAAAACTACAGGTACATTTAATATATATATATATATTATATTATTAGCGGGTATCGGTATCGGTCTTGAGAAGCAAGAAGTTATCGGTATCGGTTTCAAAAAACCAATATCGTGCATCCCTAAAAATAACCATTTCTCTCAAATATTGTTCACAAATCTGAAAGAATCTGTGATAGTGAGCACTTCTCCTTTGCCGAGATAATCCATCCCTCACAGGTGTGGCATATCAAGATGCTGATTAGACAGCATGATTATTGCACAGGTGTGCCTTAGACTGGCCACAATAAAAGGCCACAAACAAAACAGTTGGTTTTGCAGCGAGTCATCATAGGCTAACAGATGACATTTAGCACTTGTTGCTTGTATGGCTGTTCAATACAACAGAATAGTTGTTAACTTTAAAAAAACAACATGATTCACATTACTCATACTGTAATTAGTGATTAAATTACTCAACTATAACTATAATTACTACACCTAGTTGGGCTTGCCAAAATCACGCTAGTTTCATTAAACAAATTATCAAATATGCTAACGAAGCTAATGCTTTTGCCGAAAGCTATAGCTAACGAATAGTTGTTTTTAGAGACTTTAATACGGTTAGAAGCTATCATTACATTACATTACATTGCATTTAGCTGACGCTTTTATCCAAAGCGACTTACAATAAGTACATTCGACCAGGAAGACACAACCTTGAAGAAAACAGAATCATATAAGTACATCAGGTTTCATAGAGCCAAACATTTCAAGTGCTACTCCACTGGCTTTAGGTAAGCCAGTCCTTTATTAGTATAAAAGTGCTTCGTTAATAGTTCTAACGCTCGAAGTGGAGTCGAAAGAGATGAGTTTTCAGTTTGCGCCGGAAGATGTGCAAGCTATCTGCCGTCCTGATGTCAATGGGGAGCTCATTCCACCATCTTGGAGCCAGGACAGCAAACCCACGTGTTTTCGCCGATGGGAACTTGGGTCCCCCTCGCAGCGAGGGCGCAACGAGTCGTTTGGCTGATGCAGAGCGTAGTGCACGCGCTGGGGTGTACGGTTTAACCAACCATGTCCTGGATGTAGGAAGGGCCAGATCCATTCGCAGCATGGTAAGCAAGTACCAGTGTCTTGAAGTGGATTCTAGCAGTTACCGGAAGCCAGTGAAGGGAGCGGAGGAGCGGAGTGGTGTGGGAGAATTTAGGAAGGTTGAAGACCAGACGAGCCGCTGCATTCTGGATGAGCTGCAGAGGTCGGATGGCACATGCAGGTAGACCAGCCAGGAGGGAGTTGCAGTAGTCTAGGCGTGAGATGACGAGAGCCTGGACCAGAACCTGAGTCGCTTTCTGTGTCAGCTGGGGACGTATCTTCCTGATGTTGTAAAGCGTGTATCTGCAGCAACGGGTTGTAGCAGCGATGTTTGCAGTGAAGGACAGGTTGTTATCTAGGGTCACACCCAGATTCCTTGCATCATAAGCAAACAGATGTTTGTTTGTATTGCCTTAACACTATCATAGTTAATGTTAGCTAATCACACTTCATTTCAAGACACCGGAATTGTTATTAATGTTAAACAAATAAAACTTTAAAAGCACTTCACATTACTCACATTCTCTGCGTTGACGTTCACATTCATGTGAACGTGCTCCGTCACGTGGTGCGGTCCTGTAACTGCGGTCCTGTACGGCCCGTCCACACAGCAGCTTTGAACAAATCTTGAAAATCTTGGAGCTGGGCGTGTCTGACAGTTTGGGGATTTTTTGCGAGCAACACGACCAACAACCAATCACATGAATCTCCCGCCCCCGACATACAAAGCCAAAAAAAACGGGGATTTTATGCGAGCAATAAATATATATATATATATATATATATATATATATATATATATATATATTTATTGCTCGCATAAAATCCCCGTTTTTTTTATATATATATATATATATATATATATATATATATATATAAACTCCCCAAACAGGCGAAAACCTACCAGTTTCACCCACTGTCTCTGGCACCTCCTTCCATGCCTGGTTCCTCCGGTTTGTATCCCGGTAAATAGTCTGGTCGTAAAGAACCGGGTGATTTGCTACCGTAATTTCTCGTTTGGAATATGAGGAAATGAACTGCGGTCTGGCTCTCCCTGCTTACACGCGGTTTGATTGGCTAGAGCTTCTACTGTCAGATTTGCATAAACGGGTTTGATTGGCTGACGCTTCCAGCTCAGCTTCAAAAATTGAACATTGCTCAACTTTTGAATCCTGAACATCCTGGAAATCTTCGCTTCGCTCCCCCACAATGCAGTTCGGCGACAAGCGAGGAAAAGTGACGTCATCCCCATTCAAAGGCAATGGGCAGAGAAGCGTTGGAAGCGGTGGAAGAATTGTCTAGCTGCTGTGTGGACGGGCCAACTGCTGTCTCCGACGCTGCAGCTTCATGCTACTCGAACTTTCTCTTCAGTCTGCCGAACAGGTAGCTATGTTAAATTAATTGTAAACAGATGTATTGATGTTTTAAACAATAATCCGCTCTGAGTTTACTTTCGGATGGACCTTAGATAGGAAATTACGTATGACGTTTAGCTTCGTTGCTAACACAACTGATTGTACTACCTAACATCGGCTAACGTTTCCTCAGATCAAGATGGTAAACCTTTCAGAATGTCCGTGTTAGTGTTAACCGCCGATCTGGGAGAAGTTTGCTTCTGGTTTGCATGATAGTAGGGCTGTGCAATTAATCGTATTTTAATCGCGATTATGGTTTGCGACGATTATGAAAACAGCATAATTGACAAAATACGATTATTTAGCTGGGTGCGCTTCGCCCCACCCTACAAGCCCACTCGGCCACGTGGGAGTGACATGTGTTGTGAGTGTTCAGCGCAAGCGAAGATGTCAGAACAAGAGCAGCAACTCGTTAAAAAGAAGGGTACAACTATTTCCACTATTTGGAAGTACTTTGGCTTTCAGAAGTCCGACGTGGAGCAAAACAAAGTACAGTGTAGGATTTGTTACCAGGTTGTGTTGGCACCACACGCTAACACAACCAATCTCTTTAATCATCTGAAATACAACCACAAAGTGCAATACGACTGGGCAATAATACAACAAAAAGCAGATGCCGCTCGACTTCATCCACCACATCATCACAGTCATCGATTCAGGACGCATTGTACAGAGCAACGGCCTACGCGACGAGCTCGCAGAGACAGAGATATTACAGGTGCCATTACATTTCACATCGCTAAAGATATGTGCCCAGTTAGCACTGTTAGCAACCAGGGCTTTAAGCAACTTGTCAACACGTTGGACAAGCGTTACGCGATGCCGTCTCGGTATTATTTCAGCAGGTATTATGTGACAAATGCCGTGGGGAAGTTGAGAGAGATGTGGCTTCAGCTGACTACTTTGCCACCACAACGGACCTATGGTCTAGCCCAGGGGTGCCCAACCAGTCGATCGCGAGATGTGTCTAAAAATAGAACAACAATATTCTGTTTTATCGTTAATGTCCTGTAACATAATCTTCCTGTGCCAGAATAATGCACTTGAACGCATCAAAGCTTTGTGATTGGCCGGCGTCACCCCTGTGTCGGGGCGTGGCTGAGGGTCTTCAGTTCAGGTGGCAATATTGTCACCTGCCTGCGCTCATCTCTGAAACCAGACCATGTAAACAGCCTGGTGTTTCTTGCAAAAAATCTTTAAGAGATGACACGAGCAGCCCTACCAGCATTTGCCATGGTGGCCTAGACACAGGGCCGCCCCTGGCCAACTTGGGGCCCCAAGCGACATTGTGAGCTGAGCCCCCCCCCCCCCCCCCCCCCCCAACCGACAGGAGTTCACTTCTTTTTTTTTGGAAACAAAGTAGGCTACTTTGCAAATATAATTCCTGTTTATTATTATTATCAACGGTTACTTTTTTATACAGTGAGGTAAATGGTAAATGTGCATGTATGTCGTTCAGTATGGGTTTACATGTGAATTTTGCATTTCCTGCCAAATACTAGCCTCAAAAAGATAAAAACATAATTAATGCAAATAAACTACTTCTACTAATAATGATAATCATAATCAATTCAATAATAAAAATACTATATTGTTTTATTATAATATAGTCAAGACAAAACATGCTTATGACATGCTCAAAAACTGATATTTCTTAAATCTGTATTCTAGTTCTCTCTGTCAGCAATGTATCAACAACTAGACACACATTTCTATCAGTATTTCTCTGTGTTGTGGTTGACATGATGATGACTGTTAGGAGTTAAGGGGAGAGGCTGAGCATCACCATGAAATGTGCAAATTGACATACAAATGAATAAAAGGGGAAAAAATGCTCCATGTTTTTTAGGCTGTAAACTTTAACTGTTATGTAAGCCAACTAGACAGACAGTGTATCACTCTTCCTCCTGTACATTAGCAGATACAAGGCATAACATACTTGAATGAATGGTAAATAAAGAATGCTGGAAATAACTGCATCTCCATTAGCCTGTATGCTATGCAGAGACTGCCTTCTTCATGTCGTGAATTGCAGCTGATGTTTTAAGATGGCAATTGGCAATTTGACTTATATAACATTCGTAAGTTGTACATTTGACTCATACAATAACCCACCTTCGAGTGATGCTCTAGTTTCTTCATGTTTTGTTTTTTGCGCCGGACTGAAACTGTCTTTTCACCGACATCGCTTCACCTGCACTAGTGGCCGTATCAAAGCCGTGATTGGTCAGATGTCGATTCATTGCAATGGTGTCGGGTTACAAACGTGCTCCTCTTGTCACCTCTCACGGCCCGTGTCCACACAGCGGCGTGCGCCGCACTCTCACTCTCGCGGGGGGTGCGCGGATAACTGAGCGGAGAACTGCGCACAGCAGCTGAGGCCCTCTGGGCGTGGCCCCCTGCGCAAGGCGGGGCCCCATGCAGCCTGCGTGATTGGCCTGTAGGGAGGGGCGGCCCTGCCTAGACATTTTTATTTGGTCTTAAATTGTAGTTCAACATTTATTTCCTGTTACTTCTGGACCATGACGGTTGGCCAGCCTTCAACGTTTAACTGAGTGGAATATGTTGAACCAAAATGTTGGCTATATGTTAAGGAGTTTTCAGTAGGTTGTGACAGTGCACTGCAACATGTTTGATTTCATTTATTTGTCTAATTTATTTTTATTTATCATATTAATAATATATGTTTAGTATGGTTTTGGAAGTGTGATCCAACATATTTGTTGATCTTGTTTATTGGTAAAATATTATTTGTTTTAAAGTTCAATGAATAATCGTGATATCAATTATTGACCCAAATAATCGTGATTATGATTTTTGCCATAATCGCACAGCCCTACATGATAGCCTATCAGAGTTTGGGTTTTGAAACACATTTCAGCATATTTTGTATGTTTGTTAACCACACTCTAATTGATATATAACACAAATGCAATGCTTAGTTAGTGTTTAATACAAAGTTAAGTAGACACGTCTGTCCTTATGCAGAAGCCAACGTTAGCTATGGTTCGTTTCCTTCTAGTATGTATACAGTAATACACTGGTAAGTCGACTGCACTATATTAATGATGTTGTGTTGATCGACTTATATTTAATATGACACTAGCAACATTTTCATTGTACTATCTTGTAAAGTAGCTAGAGTGGCTGGTTTCTATCTCGTCTTTGGCTAAACTTCCAGATCCAAAATCAGATAGTCGTAACGGTTGTTGTCGTCACAAGGTAATTTATTAGTTATAACATTTACAAGCAGAGAGGTAGCCTACTTTGTTTATATTGATCATGTTTTGTGTTTCTCCTTACTAGAACAACTCTTCCACTAAGTGACGCATCATGAAACGTGCCAGAGGCGGTCATGGTGAGGAAGCTCCCCGGCAGAATGCCACTGCAGGCCAGAGGAAATCTGACCAAAGTGACGGGGACAACAGTGGTTGTGACCTCGGCCAAGCTGACATGCAAGACGAAGACGATAACCCGGGGATCCGGAGGGAAATACGGAGCAAGTACAGAGAACTCATCCAGTCAGTGCAACGTGAGTAAACAGAGGGTCTGGCAAGGCAGTATAGATAGGATTCTGTTGGCATATCATTAATGTATTTCGTTCTTGTGTCCCCCCTCCAGAGAATAGGGAAGACATGCTGAGTCCCTCCAACAACAAGCTCACAGAAGTTTTAGAAGAGGCAAACAAACTTTTTAAAGATGGTAGGTGTGACACAACCACAATCTATTGCACACCTATTGCATGACTGGACTGCAGGAAAATGCATTCCAAAATGTTTTTCTCCATCAGAGCAACATCTTTAAACCAGCATCTGCATTGAAATAAAACATGCACGCGAAACACATGTACTGTGATGTTATATTTGAAACAATTGAACCTATATTTGTGCGTGTTCCCTGGCAGTGCGGCAGTCGAGAGAAGCTGCTCTGGATGCCCAGCTCCTCGTTGTGACCTCAGACCTCGGCAAGGAGAAAGCCAGCCAACTTGCCGCGGAGGGCGCTGCTTTTGATCCCACTGCTTTCACTGAACACCTTGTAAGTTTATTATTTATACACGTTATTACTGCCAAAGTTCAGTTCAGTAGGTTCAGTGATCACAATGGCAGCTGAGGAAAAGCTGTTACCTTCATACATTGTTGATAGTTTCTTTCTTTGGTTATAAAAAACGTACATCATTGCTCTTATAATATCTATAAAACTGAGAAGTAGGTTTGTTTTCAGATCTTTCAATAAACCACAGTCAAATACATATATAAGACCATGTGACATAAACAGAAAGATAACATTGCAGCTACATTGTTATAACAACATTCACGGGTGGTATGTTTCAAATCTTGATGTGTCAATGTTATGCGACGCTCTGCTCTAACTAGGACACTTGTGTTATAGAAAAATCTCACTTTAAAGTAAATCTGAACGTGTCTTTGTCTGAAACAAGACAGGACGTTTATTTTAAAACACAACATCATTGATTGAAATGGTTTTACTGTACAACAAACAGAGACTTAGCAAAAGAAAGATTCAAGAAAAGAAGGAGGACATAGAAATCAACATGAAAAAAAAACAACTGTAAAAAATGTAGAAAGTCATAGGGCTGCCCCCAAATAGTCGACTAAACGTTACTCGGCTAACATAAAAATGTTTTCATTAGTCTATTAGTTGAAGTAAAAAAAGAAAAGAAAACTCCATCTGTGCGCTGTGTGTGTGCCTTGATGAGTTAGCCCCTCACTCTTTACTCTTTGCCTGGTCATTAAGTCAATTAACTGAAACCATTTTGGGAGAAAAATAAATAATATTTATAATCATAACATTATATACGTGCTACGATTAGTCGACTAATCGCCTGAATAAATCTTTAGTTCAGGGCAGCCATAGAAGGTCAATATGTTAGTAATGTGAGTACCAAGACTGAAAACGTTGCAGTAGTCATGTGGAGATCTTTTCCCCTCTTCTCTGACAGCTGTCCTACATGGGTCTGAACCGACTGAACGACGGGGAGGACGAGCAGCCGATCGGAGAAGCTATTGGCTACCTGCCTCCGGATGCTTGGCACAAAGTGGCCCAGAGAGCAGAGAGCTGTTTCAGGGCAGCCCCATCCTTCCACTACATGTGAGTGCCTCAGCAGGCTATGTGTCAATAACAATTATAAGAAATAACAGAAGGGATCACAAAATGTTCGTAAAATTAAAAGCTGCTGATTTGAAGTCTGCGTTGAATGAACATCAACCGTTTGCAGAAGATAGCCCGATCTCTTTCAGTTTTCAAAAACTCAAGACTTAGTTACCTCACTCCTGTTGTTCCACTACCTTTTGTTTAGTAGCCTTTAGGCAAATTGCTCTTAAGTAAGCAGAGATGCAGTGTTTATGTCTAATGCTTTTATTGTGAAAGGGAGATTACAACATTTTTAAAGCAGAGCTCATACAGAACTAATATAGACAATGGTGATGTAACCATTACTTAATCCAAAAGTTGTCTATTGCCACTTTAAAGATGTTTATTATTACTATAATTGTTTATAACTCAAGTATTGCGTCTTTGTTGGGTTTTTATTGTTCCTAGTTCTACTTTCTGTCCCTAAATCTATCATCATTGTGGATCATTTCATCAGGATGGGCTCGTTCCATGCAGAGCCGCCTCCTCCAAAGCAAAGGATGGAGCGGCAGAGGAAGGCCCCCGGCAAAGAAGTCAAAAGGATAATGCCTACTCAGGTAACTTACAGCCCCATGGATTTATTTTGGATAATGATACATCTTTATCTAAAAGTAACATTTTCAGTCAATAATCTTTCAAAACACAGCGTTTTTGATTGTCATGTTAATGTTTTCTTGTCAGCTGAAGAAAATGGGAGGCTCCCATCAAGAAGCGACAGAGAAAGAGGTGGAGAGGATCCTGGGATACCTGAAGACGTATTACCAAGATGATCGTGAGTTTAAAGCCGACCTATATGATGTTTCTTCATCGTGTGATTATTATTCGCTCACGTGTCTCTGCTTCTGTCACAGCAACATCCCCTATATCCTATTACGAGTTTGTCATCGACCCCAAGTCGTTTTCCCGGACAGTTGAGAACATTTTCCACATGTCCTTTCTCATCAGGGTGAGCTTCCTTAGCTGATGTTTGGATTAACGGAACTTCTCTGCCCTCTAGTGACCGTTACCAAGTGTGAAAATGCTGTTTGTGTTTCAGGATGGGCTGGCTAGGATGTATTTAGATAATTACAAATTACCTTGTATAGGTAAGAAGATTTCATATTTTGATGTATTATTCTGACCAATACAAATGTCTCTAGATAAATTATTTAACCAGCGTTCTGTGTCTTTGTTTCTCAGCTCCAGTGGAGGAGGGAGAGGTGGAAGCTGGAGGATCAAGCATCCGTAAACAGTGCATTGTCTCCATCAGCCCAAAACAATGGAAGGTTAGCAAGTTTTAGCCTGAAAACTGAGAATATACATGGCTAAAATAAATGTTAACTCTTTTTGTTATGTCATAATCATGATTTTCATTTTGTCAACTGTTATGTTGTTTTACCCAGGAACTTATAGAGTGCTACGACATCAGGGTCACAATGATCGATCCTTCAAACATGCAGCCTGAGTGATGGACCCTGCCGCCTTTCTTTTAGTTGAATTGTTTGAAATTGTAAATACATACAGCAGTGACTTATTTCTGTTGCACACATTGATTTAATCTGAGTTTTTTTACTGTTTTTAAAGTTTGAATAACAAAAGAAGAAAGCTGGTACTGTTTTAATTAATCAGAATATGACCTATATTGCTGTCATTTGAATGGCTTTAAATGAAGGTTGGGAAAACCTCGGTTAAACCTTGCACATTTAAATATTTAAAATTGTTGTGCACTAGAACAAAGAGGCATGTATGAGCATTTAAAGACCATGACCCACAGACTTGCAACTAGTGACAATGAGTCACAAGTAGAGATTGCTTTATTTGAAGGTCCCACAATGTTTGAAAAGGCAGGGAACAAGTGGCTTACAGTAGCATGAAGCACAACGGTTGGTTGTCCCGATATCTGTGTTAATCAATCAATAATGTTTATTTATATAGCCCAATATCACAAATGTTACATTTGTCTCAGTGGACTTCACAGTTTGTACAGAATATCAGAATGACAATACGACACCCTCTGTCCTTAGACCCTCACATCGTACAAGGAAAAACTTCCGAAGAAAACCCACAGTTTAAAGGGAAAAATGGGAGAAACCTCAGGGAGAGCAACAGAGGAGGGATCCCTCTCCCAGGACGGACAGACGTGCAATAGATGCCGTGTGTAAATTGAAAAGATAATACATTTGCAACATAGGTAGTCCAAATGTTTGGAAATGCATGTGTGTATAATAGGAAGATGAATCCACAAGGATATCCATCCAGGACCTATGATCCAGGACCACAGCCACGACTCAAGATCCAGGGCTCGCGATCCAGGACACAGGAGCGCAGGATCATCCATGACTCCGGATCCCGGCGTATATAGACACCAAAAAGAAAGACATTTGGGGAAGCTGGGTTAATCGGAACATGAGAGTACACAGGTATAGACAGAGAGAAGGAAGAAGTAAGATGTCCCCCGACAAACCAAGCCTATATCAGCAAAACTAGGGGCTGAATCTAATCAGCCCTAACTATAAGCTTTATCAAAAAGGAAGGTCTTAAGCGCACTCTTAAAAATGGATAGTGTATCTGCCGCCCGAACACAAACTGGAAGCTGATTCCACAAAATGGAGCTTGATAAGAAAAGGCTGTTAAAGCAAAACTACATATTAACTACCGACTTAATGCTTTTCAACCAACCAACATCATCCTTCCAGGTTCAGGTGTTCTCGTACAAGGTTAATCTATTGTCATTGTACAACACAGGTATGTAATAAAATGCAGTTGCAGTCCTTTTATGCTACATACAAAACAAGCAAAACTTTTTTGTGGAGGATGAATGCTTCAGCTGGAGGAAGAAGCTGCGCTGTAGTCAGGTGGTACAGTAGCAGGTACTTCCTGTTCTTGACCGATGGCAGCAGGGGAACAGTTGTGGCTTGGGTGTTTTTTATTTATTATCATTTGGATTCTTCTTGGGCATGTTGTTCGGTAGATGGGCACCTATGATGTCCTATGCACATCCTTTGCCAGTTGATGATGTTTTCAAATGTGCGATGATCATGCAAGGTTGTTTGTGATGCTGATTTCCAGGAACTTATTATTATTTTTAAATAAAAAAAGGACCTCCTTGGCTTTGCGTTAAGCAATAGGTTGTTATCTGAGCACCACTCTGCTAGACTTGGTCTTTCTCTAAACATTCTCATGGTTGTTATCGTGTACTCTTATGTGCAGACATTTTTAATTTCTCTGAACCATTTTCCATTCCTGAACAATAACGATAAAAAAAAGTGCAATTCATTGATACCCTTTTTAATAAAGTCTTTATTCTCTTGTTTTATTTAAAAGAAACACCCCTTTTGTACACCCCATGTGGAACGTTGGGAAAATATCTTGTCAGGATTCATGTTTCTGCTGTCATATGTAGCGGAACCCAAAACGAGGATCAAAACATAAAACAACCTACATAAAATATGTGTTCAGTCTCCCCTGGCTCTATTCTGAGTTAACATCACACTGATATGTGTGTTCTCATCATGATGATGTACGAACATCATCCTTGCATCTCCTGGCACTTAAAGAGACAGGCTCTCTTTCTGCTGCCTCCCATCTCTTCCTCTCTCCCTCTGAGCATGTTTTCCCTCCAAAGCAGTGCTTCAGTCACACCCGTGCAGTGATGTGAGGCTAAGCTACGTATGAGGCAGAGAAGAGCAGCTCCCTTATTCACACTCCTCTAATTAGACTCCTTATGTAATGACGTTTTTGTTGTTGCTTTTTTTTTTATATAACAATGACTTGAAAAGATATGTCACAGGCTCACCAGGGGCAATGCAGTGCAGAGCGTGTATTAGACACTGAGGCACACACTCGTACAGCCACAGAGGCGTGCACACGCTCACTCCACTGCTACAGCAGAGACCTGCCAGCCCCGGCGATGCTCAGGCTGAAATAACGATGCAGTTCTGCAGAAAGGTGCTCTGCAAGCCGTGTAGTGCCAGAGTCACTTCACCAGAGGAGGACATGGAATACAAGATGGGGAGCTGCATTGGAATCTCACGCAGACAGGTAAACAGAAGAGGGAGGATGCTGAGCAGAGGCTGCCTGCAGTGCAGCATCCATGCCTGAGAGTGGACGAGGAAAGGGAACAGGCTTTACCAGTCTAGAGTCTTTACTCAGGCAAAGGCAGATAGAGAGAAGGAGCTCTCTAGTGTTGGAGGAGGGGCGACGTCAGAGAGGAGAAGGAGATGCTGAGGAAAGGAGGAGCTGAGTGTAGATGCTGAGAGGAAGATGGAAGGCATGTTGACATGATAATGTACATGTGTACGGTTCATTTACACCAGGGCCTGGATGACAGTTGAGATAGGAGGAACTTCCAAGGGAAGTGTATTTGGAAAGTATGCTGTGATTTAAGAAAGAGGCAGTGTTATTTATAGGGATGACAATAAGTCTTGGCACTCTGCTGAAGATGGCCTGTGATGATGGGAGATAAAACAGGATCCAAAATACACTTCAAACCCTCTGTAGTCCAAATATAAATGTGTTTCTTGCTTGCATGTTGCTCTGGCCGGTGGTGGTTAAGTCAGAGTGGGTTTGTGATGTTTGACTATGGTCTGTACATGTCAATCACTGCAAAATGTACGGAAGTGAGGCGTTGACAGAGCATCACACTGAGGTTTAAAGAATGAATACATGTGAAAAGGTTTGGGGTTATTTAGAATATTATCATCAGGGAGCTAGGACTCCTCATTCTCCTGTCCATACACTGAAATGTTGACTTTATTTAAATGTATTAAGTCAACAGGTTGCATGTAACTGTATTAGGTCAGTTGAAAGCAATACTATTAAGTTGAACCTAATATGTTTTATTTAAACTTAATATTATTGCTTTCAACTAACCCAGTTATATGACATCTGTTGACATAATAATAATTAAAGTAAACGTTTCAGTTTTTTCAGTGTAGTGTGCCCGTTTGTTTACAGTGTGGCCTCAGATCTAGCGTTCCCTCCAGCTGACTGACTGCCCCCCCCCCCACACACACACAGATACCTCTACCACCCTAAGCAGACATGGCTTCCCCAGCTCCAGTTCGGTCTCCTCCCCTAGGGCCTGTCCCCTCTCCTGTCCCTGTCCTGTGTCCCCCCCTCCGTCCTCTCCTCCCACTCTGCGTGTGATATTAAAAATAGCTTCAGAGAGACCGGGGCTCCTCAGAGGAGAGCACAGAAACAAACATTGGCCTTGAGTCAGACAGTAAACAAAGATTGGATTTGGGTTGGTAAAAGGCTTGACACTGTGTGAGGAAAAGCCTGCAGTGGTGAGTAGTTTGTGAGTTGCATCAATGACGCAGATTTTTGATTATTTGTGTGGTTTGCAGTGAAAAATATTAAAAAATTAGGAAAAAGGGTTAAACTTGGCCATTTTTAAAGCTGCGATGGAATTTTTGTGACTGGTTAACTTTTTATTTTCATGTTTAATGCTATAAGATTTAAATGTGTTAAGTAGATTTGCCTTGACCCGGTGTCTTCTCTGTCTCTTACCTATAGCTGAATTATAATATGTGTATTATCTATGAAATTCAATATCGGATTGTAATTTTTTTTAAACAGAAATGTATTTAGCCTTGATGTGTTCCTGGTAGTTTTACTCTGCCAGTGGAGGGGTCAGGTGTGGGGCAGGAAGCAGTAATCTGATACTGTAGGTGTCTAAAGGAAGACATATTGCTCATCTAAACCCTAGAGCTTAAACGATGGCGCATGTCAGTGACTGACAGGCCAAGATGAGGTGAGAAGAGACCTTGCAAATGTCTAATCATATGATTTGTCCCAGTGCTGTCTGTGCTTCCACTGCCGCCTGCTAAAGTGCACACACGTCCACGGCTGAAATTACACCCCATTCACACAAATAGCAAGCAGGCAGCGATGGGAAGTGTTGCCACACCAAGACATAATCAGAATTAAGACGTTCAGTAAGGGGAAATCCAGATATTAAATTCCCTGATTGGATAATCATAGGAAATATGTACAACAAAAATGTATTATTTGTATACTTGAGTAGAATATACAGCCTTTGTGATAATAGTTTGGAAATAAAGTGTGCATGACTAATTGTGCACAAGACTGGAATAAAGTGGATAGGCCAGAACTCTATTTATAAAGTCTTGCATATTCAGGTCAGTGGTTTCTGACTGCAGAGCTACCGTATATTCCCTGCAGTCATATATGCGGAATGCACAAACACCACTACAGTCAGCACGAGTGTTTACTGCGCAGCTGCAATACATACATCAAAGAAGAGGGGAAATAAAGGTGGATGTCAAGGGACTATTTGATAGGCTTATGAAAGCGATTTCTTCTGTATTTGATATACAATCAAACCATGGCTAAGGCTTGATGTGCTTTTCTTCAAATAATTGAAATATCTTTGCAGTTTTTTTCAAATATATGTATGTTTCTGGATGATTTCATTAGCTTTGACTCATGTTCCTTAACAGACTGAACACTGCTGGAAGCCAACATACACCCCAATCTGTTATGAGGATTACCTAACTGAGCCTAAGTCACTTTGTCATTATGAGACAGTCACTCTGTGTTACACAATGCATGTAAAGAGATGTTGTATTCTTAGAGACAATGCTATTTGTTTAAGGTCATTCAAGAGAAGGGGCTGCTGTTCATCATTTGTCCAATATACTCTTAAAGTATGCTCTAGAATACATTTTTATGATTACAAGATGCTTGTTAGGGGATCTGTTTCTGCCTCAGCGGAGGGAAAGCCTGCCCTTTGGTCTGAGAGGGAGGTCTTGCTTCAAGTCCATAATCTCCTAAACAACACACACTTAACCATTCTCCCTCCCTGGTACCACAACCTCATGCCAGAGAGCTGTAATGCTGCAGACTCTGTGACTGCTGATCACACTGTGTGTCTCTCTATGGAATAGTCCTACGCTGATGGTCCCTCTGTGCCATTGTCTTTCAGCCAGCTGTTGTGAGAGGCTGTTGGTTTGGGCAGTTGTGGCCCCGCAGCTGGCTGAGCCATGGGGAACGAGAGCAGCACAACTGAAGCGTTGGTAAGGATAAGCTCGCTGGCATTAGATGTCTAAGATCGCTTTATGATGCTCAATCTCTAACAAAACTAACACTGGCTCGCACAATTACTAACTGTTGGCTTCAGTAAAACACTTGGGATGTAAATAGTGCTTTTTGTACCTTCTCATGCTTAATTCAAGCTTTCTAATAAGCATTTAGATAACATGCATTTTCTCTATTTTGTGGCTTAAAGCATAGGTTAAGATAAATGTTAGATGCTTATATGGCTCTAAAAATGTGCTGTAATCTGATTGCTGCACCCTGATGCTTCCAAGCTTGATTTCTTGCAGTTTATATAAAATCCATCACAATGTTTTAAAAATCTATGTTTGTTGTAAATGTAAACAAGTTTTAAAAAATGACAAAAAAATCAGGAATTTCCACATGTGACTGTATCCAGCAGTGGAATTCAGGATTATTTTAATAGGATTAACACATTTGCCTCATGAGTTATAGTCTCATGTAGTGGACCTCATTAGATGTGATTGGAGAGTGAGGCTTAACATTGTTGCTTTTGCCTTAAAAAACATGTGATTTGTTTTCAGTGCCTTGGTGCACACCACTGCTGCTTTGCACTATAGTGGCTGTTCCCTTTAAACGACTCTGGTTGAACACTTTCATTTCCTGTCACAGCCAGAAGAGGGCGCTGCGGAAAATGTTGTTCTGTTTCCACCTCAGGAAAATCAAAATGACTCCCTACACAGGTACAACATGTGTAGGTGTATGTGTGTGAAATCCAGAGGGAATATTAACTGATAGGTGAGACATTTTAATGCATCCTGTGCAGAGTGTCATTAACCTTATTTTTTTACAAGATATCCAACAAAGTGTAACTCTGCCTTTTGATTATTAATAATGAATATATGAATGTATTATCTTTTCAATTAACACATGGCATCTATTGCACGTCTGTCCGTCCTGGGAGAGGGATCCCTCCTCTGTTGCTCTCCCTGAGGTTTCTCCCATTTTCCCCTTTAAACTGTGGGTTTTCTTCGGAAGATTTTCCTTGTACGATGTGAGGGTCTAAGGACAGAGGGTGTCGAATTGTCATACTGATATTTTGTACAAACTGTAAAGTCCACTGAGACAAATGTAACATTTGTGATATTGGGCTATATAAATAAACATTGATTGATTGATTGATTGAATAGCAGGGAAATCCTATTTGAGTCATTACTCTTAAAGTGCCATTTTGTGAATTTGAGCAATTTCAATTATTTTATTTACACTGCCATTTTATTCAATATCTTTTTATAAATGAATACGTATTTGAATTTTTTTTATTTTGGTATGATATCTGTAAGATAACCACACACCCCACCCTCATGTGCATATACAATATAGGACATTCCATTCAAATCACTGAAATAAATTGAAATTGAAAACATTTTTAAAAATAAATATATATTTAAAGACTCATTCATGTTTTTAGTTATTGTCACAATTTATTCCATAGGCATATCTATTTATTTTGTAGGAGTATTTTTTTTATTTCATAGGAGTATTTCTTTATTTATATATTTATTTTAAATCGACTTAAATGGCATTACATACTTATATATCTTTCACACTTATTTGTCGGTTTGATCTGGTTTATTTGCATTACTTTTGCCATCGTAGCATTGCTTTGGAAAAAGCATCCTCCAGAATGCAACCCTCTTCACCACCCTTGTTTGGTGTCGTGATGGTTGTGTATTTTACATATGTTTATGATGATTTATCAGGAAGAGAGAAATAAGAAAGATTCCAAACCTACACCAAAGCTAACACGTGTGATCCCCTTTAATATCCAGTGAAAATTAGCCTGGGAGATGTACTTTATACTGACAGCTGAAAACCTTCAGTGTACTGACAGATGTTGTTCCTACCCGAGGACCAGAGTGTGTTTTAATGGCCAGAGGGAGAGTGTGTTAAGCATCGAGGAGAAGGTGCTGTCATCCTCTGATGATGTCACACCTTAGCAACACTCACAGGTCAGAGTTGGATGAAGGAGGAGCTTTTCTAATGCAGCAGGATGTTGTGTGCCTCTGTGTACATGTGCCCAATGTGCTATGAAACCAAAGCTTCTTGGAATGTAACCTGATCCCCTCTCAGGGGGTCACGGCAGGCCCGACCCTTGGCCTAATTCCCAGCATTCACCTGCAGAGGCACTGTCACTCTGTCAGTAGGCAGCCAGAAGACACAGCAGCAGGGAGAGAAAGGGGAGGAGGCTGGAAGCAGAGGTGGATAGGGCAGGAAGAAGAGAGGGAAGGAGGAGGGAAAAGACAAGAGAGCTGTGTACAGTAGAGGGGGAGGAGAATGATCAGTACTTCCCTGTGGCCAGCTCAGTCAAGTCTCAGCAGCAAGCACTGTGTGTGTCATTGCGTAGTAGTGTCTCTCCACAAACACAATCCTGAGGAGGCGCATGGAAATTTAACAGGGGAGTGTCAGCAGCAGCAGAGAGGACAGGACTGTGAGGAGAGGAGGAGCTGAGTCAGTACCAGAGAGGAGAGTGTGAGCGTCAGCAGCAGCATGTGTTGCAGCATGTTTGCCCCCTTCTTCAAAACACACAGCCCTGCAGAGAGAAAGGTAGAAGGGTAGCAGAGGAGTCACCTTCAGCAGCACAGAGGAGCAAACACTGCTGGGTAAGTGCAACACAGGGGATGTAAAGAAGGGTTGTGTTAGAGCTGTGTAATGTCTTAGTGAGGGCTTGGCTCTGCGTCAGCCTCCTCCCTGTTTACAACAGTCATGTGTTAGGCATTACAGTTGTGTTAGCACATGGGCACTGACAGATTGAGTTAACAGTAAGTGGGATATAATGAGTGTTGGACAAGTAGTAGTTTCTAGGCAACCTAAGTGTGCTTTCTGTTTTGTTCCTGCTGGTTAATGGATAACAGACAGTGCTTTCTGCGTGGGGGTCACACTAACTGTAACAAGGGCCATGCTTTTCCACCTCACTGAGCTTCCACTTCTTCATACAATGGCCATACAGTGGGGATTAAGTGTTGGTTGTAAACTCCTGGGGCTGTTTGTTGTTACTCTGTTGTAGCTGCTCTGAGTTTGTTTCCACTGTGACATTATCAGGTGAGAAAGTTCAGGCAGGAAACAGGAAGCCAAAGACACGTCAACATACAGACTTTTATCATAAAGCTATGTTCATTTCTGCATGTAGAACTATTAAGGTGTGGATGAATTGTTTGTTAAAAATTCTATGATGATACAGAAAATGACAGTAGTATGGAGATCACAGGCATTCAGAGTGACACCTGCAGCACACTCTTTTAGGTTTACTCTTTCATGTCTTACGTTCTCTAATGTTTATTTCTGCAGCCTGGCAGGAATAGTCTAAAATAAACATTTAAAAATAACTCAATCTGGCTTGGAAACACAGATGTGAAGAGAGCGGCTACAATTGGCCAACATTCCTCTAAAGTGAGTTTTAAAGGCGTAGTGCAGTGGAGATTTTAGCTTTTTTGTTCTTGTGATCGCGTGAGCAACATCCTCCATGTGAGGCTCTTTGTTGTGGTGACACAGGTGAGGCCAGTGACTCAAGAGCCTCTTAACTACACACACAGCTTTACTTGTTGGCCTGTCTCTAATATCTGCAAAAGGCACCACTGACATGTGAGGTGACATTTTGTAGTCCATCTTAAAGCAGGACTACATTTTTGATTGTTGTTGCATTTTAAAATCAATGAATGTAAAGCAAATGTGCTACATTGCCTTTAAAATAACCTAAATAAGTGAACATAACAGTGCAAGCAGCTAAAACTAGACCCCTAAAATCATGATTTCTGTTTATTGGTCATGATACTCATCTCCTTTTGTGTGCAGCCATGCTGTCTACTTGTTCATAAATAATGAATGAACGGATTCAATTCTGGATCTCAGCTAATCTTTGATGGTTGGCATTAGAACACTTTTAATCGTTCTGTACTCACACTTATAAATATAATCACATTGTAGTTTGCTAAAATCAGCACCGTCTTTGTAAGAAATAGTTCAAATCGTCCCGACATACGGACTGTTAAAGGGCTGTTTGCACATGTTTATGTGTCTGTGCTTACGTTCACATTTGTTTGCACCTGCACTCCTCAGTTTATTTCCAAGAGGGTGAAACAATGGAAACGTTCCCCTATGTAAACTGAGGCGGCCTATGTGGGAGAAATTCCATCATATAGACAGAGGGTCCACAGTGAAGTGTTGTGTTGTTGCTGTTTGTGTTTACATAATTTAATATGGGCTTTAATAAAACTATTATTCTTTGTCAATTATTTTCTAAGTGAGGCCCTGTATGATGAATGTCCATGTGAAGGTGCTTTATACAAAATAATTAAATCTGAGATGAGTTTAACCACATGTCTGAGTCACATTCCAGCAGGACTGGTTTGTCTTTAATGATTACTCTTTCTGGCTGGGAAAATGTTTTATCATAGCAGACTTCCTTGTGAGGTGTTTCCAAGGTAGAGAACACCCGGCTGTAATGAAACATTTAATTAAACTAGTTCCCTTTTTTCTTTCACAATAATAGTTAGTTGCTGCTGAGAACTGCAGTGTAAGCAAAGCTGCAGAGATTAGCCTGGGGACACTGAGCCTGGGCATTCATTCTAGGCTATAACACTATAAATAATCCTTTAATCGCAGTAATAGTATAATAAATGCAAGTTGAGAGACAATGAAAGGAGCTCCAGTCAGTATGACCTACACATTGCCACACAAACAACACTTCACTTAATAGTTAAACATGGGTGGAGTTATTTCTCTGTGAGGTTTGGCTTTGAGCATTGAATCTGTAGGTGTTCCCACGTTTGTTCACAACCAAGTCACCTATAAATATGGCGCAACATGCTCACACTTGTTTAACTTCACGCTCTTATCATGTGCAGCAAAGACTTACTACCATTATATTTCCCTCTTCCACAGCCGGAAGCTAAGAGTTTGACCAAGAGAGACGACAAAGGTCTTCTGACTGTATCCTCCAGCAGCCAGCAGAGTCTGCTATCCCTACCAGACGTCCCAGTGATCAGCGGGGTGGAGGAGAGCAGGAGTTCAGCTGAAGATCAGGACGAGCTGGAGTTTCCTCACGACCTGCTGCCCAGTCTAGACTTCAGCAGTGAGCTCAACATCTGGGAGTCCTCTCTGGGGTAAGTTAAGGGTATAAACACATGCACATAAACACGCATACACACTTATGGTGGTAACTATCACTGTTTATATCATAAATCATAATGTATTTTTCCCCTCCCTTGTGGGCGTGGCTCAGGAGGGAACATTTGACATCACAATGTTATTACACCACAATTTTAGCAACATTGGGATGATTCTTTGGCAATCTTAGCATCTTTTGGCATTCAAACGTCTTAAATGTACTTTGCTGAAACTTGGTGGTCCATCATACTTAATGTATATACTTCCAAGGTTTTATCTGAAGGTAAAACATTGTGTAAATATATGTTTTCACTTAAGGATGCAGGTTTATGATCAATAGTGTATCATATTATTATTGCATTCTTGTAAAATCATTTATTCGATATACATTTTGCTTGATTTATGGCTGTGATTTATGGAGCACATTTGTACCAACTATCAGGTCAAGGTGAAAGGAAAGCTGATATTGATTTGTTGTGAATGTGTCTACCTGTGTGTGCACATGTGGTGTGGGTTTGTTTACGCAGAGCTCAGACTAGCTCAGCAGAGGGGAAATGTGAGCAGGTGAACCCCCTGCTGGCGGGCCTGCAGCAGCACCACAAAGTCAGTCCACCACGGATGGTTCTAGATAAAAGGTACAATGTAGAATCAGCATGATGGGGGATAGGTGGGAGTGTGCTCAGCAGGGATGATCCAAAGTAAAACAGGGAGCATGGAGTGTGCCCAAAGGATGATAGGGTCATTGAACGTTTCTCATTTAGGCTGGAGTGTGCTGGACATCTTCTTTCTAAGAGACTGAGGTGTGTTTGTTTTTAATGCTTGGGTGAATTACTTGCAGACTAACTTTATGCTCTGTGTCTACAGTTGCCTGGTTTTCTTAAGGGTAATTGTACTAATTTGTCTGAGGCATTAAGGTGCTCTGAAAAAGTGACTCATAGCAGAAGTATGTGAACGTAATAACTATGAATTTAAAATAACAGGAACACACAAATTAGGTAACTGTCAGATGATCATGAAGTTATGAAGGGTGACTTCTTAGTAACTCCTAAGTATGATGTATCACTTTACTGAAGGGTGCACAGAAAGTGTAATTATTAAATAAGCAATAAATGAATCATTACTGGTTTTTGCTGCTGTAGTTAATTCTTAGATAACCAGGAATAAAGAAGGTTATCGTCATTAAGACTCATTTATGAAGTAATCATTACCAAAAAAATCAAAATGTATACAAAGGACTGATTAACAATTCATTACTGACCAGAATCTATTAGCAACTACACACATTTTCGTGTACCATAATGTATTCATCCAAAAAAGGTTATTTACAAACATTTACCGGATAGATAAAAGTACTCGAACTGCAAAAATTCAAATGAAGAACGTTGGAGTTCCTGCCTTTTAAGCTAAACACTGCAGGGTAAAGGACATAGGTGGTCTTATAAATGGCAAGAACCATCTGGTTTATTTAAGCTCAGGTACACATTGCAGGCAACAGCTTGTTGAATAGCAAAACTTTCCATCTACGCCCACTAGTAGGGAGTGCCAACTGAATTAGATGAGGGTCAGTGAGGTGAGTAATAACAAGTTGTCAGGGTAGAGATTGTATAAGGAAATGACAGGGCTTTTTTATAGTGCATTAATAACCACACACAGTGACACTTACTTACATTAGTTCTTACTTCATTTATTTATATCTGAACAAAGATTCAAGATACCTGATACCAGATATGAATAGGAGTGTAGCTGATCTTATAATAAAAAAAATTATGATGGATCTTTCCTCTCAGTTTGGCCTAAAGATAAGATGGCCCCTTAACCTTTTGCTGCAATGCTGGCAAATGACTTAGCAGTGACTCAGCAATTACAACTGAATGGCACAAAGCTAGCCTTAGTTTTACAGGCATTATATTGTAAGAAGTCTAACATTGTGATGCTAGCTGTGTACTTCAGGGAATGCTTTGCAGGGCAATAACACTGCTTTGATAAATGGTTATATATAAATATCATGAGGCAGGAATTGTTTTGGTGCATAAGCATGAGCATGAGGTTGTTTATCTTGTGACTTGATTTATTACCATCCCTCAAGGGAATGCTAATAAGGCTGTAATGTACCATACAGCATATTCACTTGCAGTTTAGTAATCACTATCTTTTACATTAAAAAACGTTTTTTAGAATAAACAAATTAATAATAGTGATCAGCATGATGTGGCAGACAGTATTGATTGTTAGTATATAACCAGAGTACACAAAATCCTGACTATAATACAATCTTTTCATAATACTATTAGGTAGTACTATTGTATAGTATATGGATGCTATTACAATACTCAATCATTTATTGTAAGATCATTCTGCTAGTACTTGGTTCTTGCTTTACACAACACCATTACTCATACAAAACTACTTTTTATTCTTAAGCTTTTGTGACATTTTGAAAAATCAGGCAGTCACATTGAAAAAGGGAAATTATATTTAAAGGCTTGTTTTTGTTTGTTTTTTTAAGTTGAAAGCGTATGAACAGACCTGCATGTTCATTAACAACCATAAACATAGAAACAGCTGATATTATTACGATCATCTCAGAACAGGCATCCTGAGTGCAGTTGTGTGTTGTGTGTGCACATGGTGGAGTGCAGTGTCTGAGCATGGCCTTCTGCTGTGGCATTAGCAGCGCTTTGTGGCAACGTGGAATGACCAGCTGTCTGCCTGCCAGACTCTTAACTGTGTCACCCCACCCTCGTCTCAGGCCTTATGACAGCGACCCAGTTCTCACAGATGTCCAGCCTTCACCTCGGCCCTCTGCCACACCTCACCCGGATGTCCGACTCCTGACCCCTCCCCTCTCCGTCCTCCTTGACCGGGAACTCCAAGAGGCCTACCAGGAATGTGAAGAACAAATGGCCTCACTGAGCACACTCAGTCCCTCAGGGCCCCCCGGCACCAAACCTGAGACTGTTCATAATGAAGGGAAGAAAACTGGAGAAGTGATGGTTAAAAAATCCAATGAGTCATCGTCACTGCCTCCACTTGTAGTACAGCCAGGACATAGCAACGGGGGCCATGGAAACAAGAGTACACACGGAAACAGTGAGGCAGCAAACAGTCGGACGGATACAGTTGTGTTTAGTTTCAGGGATTACATACTGGGCAATGAGAAAAGTGCTGGGGCAGCAGAGACGGAGAGTGAAATAAAAACAACACAGAGACTGGAGAAGTGTTCAGATTTGAAGACAGAAACAGAGATAGATGAGCAAAAGCCTAAGGGAACACCCACGCATACACAATTAGAAACCACAGATTTATTGAAAGAAACCCAAAAAGATGTCGCTGAGCAGAGAGGCGATTTTAGAGACAAACATGTTGATTCCAATGCAGCCGTTGAGAAAAAGAGCACTGTAGATTGTAGTATAGAAATAGGGGACAAATACAACGAGGCAATAACAGATATTGTAGACATTAAGAAAGAAAAGTGGAATGAATCCAGTACTAACGACACACCAGAGTGCAGTGATGTTCGTTTAAAAGATAAACACACATTATCAGAGAGGCAGCCAGAGACGCAGACAGGAGCAACAAATCTAAGTCAGGAGGATCAGGAGTCAAAAACAGACAACTCTCCATGTGACAAACAGACCGAGCTGAACAAAAAGGCAAAGAAGAAAGAAAAAAAGAAACAAAGGAAAAAGAAAAAAATAGAAGAGAAGAACACAGAGACTGGCCAGAAAGCAAAGGCAGTAGAAAAACCTGAAAACAATTCAGAGGCTGTATCTCTCACAAATGTGGACACTCACACAGAATCAACAGAATCAATGTCCCAGGCAGACGCTCTGAATTTGATTTGCGGGGAGCAGCCTGATTGTGGGTGTGACTTCAAGAGACAGCTGAGTCCTAGGGGAAAGCCCTGCCCCAGCCCCCCCACCATCATCCTCTCATAGCAGCCACGATCATCTTTCTGACCTGGGGTGTTCACCTGCATCCAACCAGGCTCTTTCTCAGAGGCCTCTTCAATCAGAAAACCACAAACATGCAGACACCCCATGTGATATAAATCACTGCTCAGTAGCAAGCCCACAGCGGATGCAACATGCAACCGGAGCCGTCATCGACAAACCAGATATACCCATGACACATGTCCGAACTACAGTTATCAATCCAGCTGCCGATAAGAGATCAGGTGCAGTTTCCTCAGAGACAGGGATACTCGCATACGAGAATCAGAGTCCATTCTACAACAGGCAATTTTGTGTGGGAGAGAGCAGCGTGGAGAGTGCCCTTGAAGAGGCTTTAGTGGTGGTTGCTGTGTTGCCACTGGCAACACCCACAATGCCAGAAGTGATAGAAAGCAAGAGAGAGCGAGAACATGATTCACTGAAAAGTGTATCCACTGTAGCGATCGCAGAGAGTGAGAAGGCAGTGGGAGAGAAAGGTTTGGAAGACATAGAAAAGTGCTTCTTCCCTTTAGACGGAGAGGAAAAGGGACTCCCGGACAGCCTTGCATTCATCTGTTCACAGGGAAAAGGTTCCCTTGCATTCTCCGCCAAAGAGGGACAAGCTGTATCTGAGGAAAGCTGCAGCAGCAAAATGCCACACAACTCAGCTGAGGCTGAAACAAAGGGACAGAGAGAGGCGGCTGTTCGCAGTGCAGACATCTCACCGGCTGAAGAGGGAGACATAGAAAAGGAGCATCACCATTTAGAAGCCTTTGTCATTACTTCTCCCTTGAGGATACTCAGTGGTCCGGATTGTCAGGCGCACAGAGCTGCAGGATTGGTGGGAGGAGGGGAGGAGGTGGGGGAGAAAAGAGGGCTGGCTATAGAGCACAGTTCATTCAGCCAGCCAGAGAGCTCTGCCGGTGGGGTGTCATCATCTGAGGCTGAGGCGTGTCCGCTCACCAATGTTGCCGAGTCACAGCGAAAGTCACACGGCTGGAGGGAGCCGATTGCTTCCATCTCTGAAGGCGTCTTCACCGAACAGGACCGTCTCCCTCCCCCCGGACACCAGCAGCAGGATGGTGCACTAATTTCATCTAACCGGCAACAAAGCAGCAAAGAAAACAGAGGGGTAAGGGCTGATCTCACACAGGACTCATCCATCACAGAGACAGAGAGAAACTGCAGCCAATTCTTCCTGTCTTCCATCTCACCCCAGCCTCTGACTACTAAACATCAAATCACAGCCGAGCGACAAGCGAGCAACGATCAACAGGTCCAGCCTGAAAGTAGCACAGAAGAAACTTTCCAAGCACAGACCCCGAATAATATTAACGCTATGTCGGGAGTGGGTGTGTCCTTATGTGAAGGCAATAAAGGCAACAACAGAGTTCGCTTTGCAGACACTGTGAAACAAGAAGGCAGTTCCTCTGTGAATCTCAGGAGCATGGCTTTGTCGCCTATGGACTGCGCCTCTTTGCCCCCGCTGACTGTTCATGAGAGTTTGTACCATCCCGTGGTTGAGACCAGCTACATCTTCCCAGAATTCCTGGTTTTGAAGAAGCCAGAAATTCCAACAGATGCAACTCCTGCCAAGGACGATCTTGCAAAAGTGAGCCTGTCCGACTTTCCAAAGCCACAGAAAGATGTACAGTCGGATAAAGGGCAGATGGGGATAAAAGTCAACAAGGAGACCATTAACAGCAACTTCGAGACAAACACAACGGATTCAAAGTCTGAGGCTTGCTCAAAACAACCTTTATGTCCGACCGAGAAGAATGGTGACCTTTCACATGCAGCAGAAAATGCCTTCCCTGAGGCCGATCATCATAAAGCTGAGCTGGTGTCAGCAAATGTGACAAAGCAATTAGAGGCGGAAACACGCAAGGATGCCTTAAATCTGTGTTTATCAGCTGAGAAAGAAACAGACAAGCTACATGCTGAGTCTAAAAACTCAGTTACGACTGTCCCGCCTCAGGAGTCACAAGTCATAAGTGATGAAGGTAACCAACATGCTCTTATCTCATGTTCTGTGCCTCCAGCTGATGATGTCACCTCTGAGCTTCTTGTTGGGCAGCTCTCTGCAGACCCTGACCCCTTTCTTCAGACACAGCCTAGTGACCTCAGTTATCAGCCTCCCATCCAATTAGATCAAACCCCTCCTCTTGGACTACTCACTACTGATCCCATTGAGGCCACTGAGGGGTCCATTATCCCCTCTGCTGCTCAGACAAAGAATGAATCAGCAGCTTCAGTAGTGACAGCCTCTGACCAGTCAATTCCTGTTATCGAGCAATGTGTCGGTAACTCTTTTGTGCTGCGGCCCCGTGGCCCTTTGTTGAGTCACATGGAGTTAATTTCTGACTGTCATATCTCTCTTCCTGAGCAGACAGATAACAGCGGCGCTTACGGTGACAGCGCCAAAGTCTCTAGAGAGGAAGATGGCAGGGTAATAACTAAACTGTCTGTTGCAAAGGATCTGGAGCATAACGATGTCGGCGTTAAAGTAGACAAGGTTTGTCCGAAGCTGGAGGATAAAAATCACATAATGGAGTCTGCAATTATAAATGTAAATATTCCATTTTCACAAGAAAACAATGTGTCTCCTCTTCAGCCTCCTGGTGTAGTGGGTGTGCTGGCAAAGGATGGGTCTGATAATGTAATTTCTCAATCCCACATTAAACCTGTTATTTGTGAAGCATCTATTAAGGATGACCTAATTTATGTCAGCTCTGACCTGCCTACCAACAAGGCTTGCGATCAAATTAAACAAGAAGACATGAAAGAGAAAATGGAAGATCAGACCTCCGTGCTGTTTGCAGAGGAAAAGAAAAAAACTGAAGAGGCAACAATGGATAATCAAAAGGAAACAGCAGACAGGAGCACAGTGCAGATAGGAGAGAGAGGCACAGCACTGCAACAGGGTAATGGGCCAGATACAGAAGCTGTGGAAGAAATTCGAGACCTGCAGCCACCGCATAAACATAAAATACAAAAGACTGAATCGCTAATAGGGGATATAAAGGAGGAAGGAGAAGGGAAGAGCCAGACTTCCTCCTTGTCTCCCAACAGACCTGTGGGGTCATCTGAAGACAGATTAAGTGCTGAGGTAGAGTTTGGTAGTGAACCTCAGACTGTTTATGAGCAGAGTTTGCTCCAAACTCCGACAGCAACACTGGAACACAGCTCTGACAGGGACAAGGCACCTGACCAATCGCAGTCCACACTGGAGCCAAACAGTTTTGCTCAGCAACAGCAGCGGCTTCTCAGATCCAGACAACCCACAGAGGATTTGTCAGGTGGCTGTCTAAAGGGAGGAGAACAGACTAACAGTAAGGCCAGGCAGACCCTAGCGATGGCTCCCGGGGTGAGAGAGGGAGCAGAGGGAGGACACGGCTCTGTTATGAGTTTGTGTCAGTCAGGAAGAGGGGATGAGTTGACAGATGACGACAGCAGTGGCAATGAACGTGGGATAGATTTGGAGAAAGGAAAGGGGGAGGGTGCAGTAGAGGTCGACAGCGTTTATGTGCCATCTCACCCAGCCAGTGATGTAAATGAGAGTGGAAAGGCTGCTCAGAGAAATGCGTTGACTGACACCACAGCTCTCTCTCATATAGGTGAGACGAGACAGGGGATGGATGAGAATAAAAGCCCTGCGTTAGAGGTAGTTGGGTCGGGTACAGACACTGAGGTTGTGAGGGATCTTTATGGTGAAGGTCAGCAGAAAAGCAATCTATCAGCTGCCTGTCAAGACCAACATGAAAAACCAGAGACTTCAAAGGACAATGCTGTATCTGTTGAGTCTTCATCACAGGAACATGAGACTGCACCTTTCCAAATCTGTGTTCCATCAAAGGTCAGCACAGACAGTCAATGCATTCACACAACAGTTGTTCCAAGCGCAAGCAAAGCTGAAGAAATTCATACAATAATATCCAGTGCTATGGTTGTGCAACCAGAAAGTGTGGGAAATGATTTTAGCCGTGTCCTGGCTGTAACTAGTGAAACGGAGGAGTGTGAAATTCAGGATACTGCGTGCAAGCCTCTCGAGCTACAGAGTTCCATAACAACGTCAGCCATACAAAGCAGCTCGGTAGTACAAACAGGCCCTGATGTAGAGGAGATCACAAAGGAAGATAAAGCAGCTTTGGACGAAGAGAAAGTTAACAGCCAGGGAAAGGGACAAAGCGAGATCAAAGCGACGAACCATGAGGCAGTGAAAGAACAGGAGGTCATAAATCAAACTAGAATTGCTAAAGGCAGTGGCTCAATTGGTGTTTCTAAGGCAACAGAAAAGGGTATAACAGATACAAATACTTCTGGAGATATCACAGCTTCATCTGTTGTTTCGTCAAAGAGCCCGGAAGCATCAACAGTTACCCAGTCAGAGAAGCCTCGTGATCAGGTGTCAAAGCCCGGAGATCATACTGCGGTACACCCCATTGTTGCTGCTCCCCACTGTGAAGGAGAAACACTTGTTGAACATGTGTGTTCGAGCGCAGAGGCTGCAGAGGTTTCAGAGAGACAACCAGAAACAAACTGGATACAAGCTCTAAAAGAAGCTGCATCCCATACTCAGAGTAAACAAGAGACCTTAAGGTAAATACAAGAGCATGTGTGTGTTTCAAAATATCATATGAGAAAAAATGCCTTAAGATTTGGAGGTTAGAAGAGTGTACACAAGACTATACTGATACAACTATGTTAATGTGAAATGAATACTGTGAACTACACATGTCTGAGTGGTCAGTGGGGGTCAACATGGAAAAAGAAGCATGCCGTCACACGTATCATCTTACATCACAAAGAGAAAAGCACATGTGAAGTCACCAACCACAACAAAAAAAATACAGATTTATTTTGACATTCCCATGGATAATAATGATTTGACGTCCATTTGTTTAGAAATCATATATTGCATCAGTTTCTTTCTTTAACTTAGCATTCCATTAACACCATGTCCAGGGCTTGTTTAGAGTGATATTACAGAGAGCAGCTTGACAATGAATATGAATGAGGGGGTAAACACAGAGCTGCTTTTTGTTTTGACTCGAGGCCCGGGTCAGATGACTGTGCCTGTGGAAGTCTAATGGAAGAAATGCAGCCCTTTATATTCAAAGGATGACATCAGCTGGGACATCGTTCGTGCTCTCCAGAGCAAGAATGAGCCTTTTCTCACACTGCTAAACACAATGCAGCAACACAAACACACACATGTACCTACAGTTCTTCTGCGAACACGCACAAAAAAAAACACACACACACTTCTAGACAGATACAACCCCCTGTATAACCACTCAGACACACACATGTCAATTGCCAGTCATTTATTGTGCATGTGCTGTAAACTAACAACAAATCCCCAACCCCCTCTTCTCTTGTGTTGTTTTTCCAGACCCTTCCCATTTCTGGAGTCTCCACAACTAGAGTTTCTAACACCAGCTGAAGAGATAGCTGCTCCTCCGAAAGAGGACGAGATCCCACCACCGGCTCAAGCTGTGGAGAAGACAACTGAGATCCCCCCTCTGAACCTTGAGAAGAAGCCAGTGGATCTCCCTGAACCTTTAAAGAAGCCAGTGGATTTTCCTGAACCTTTAAAGAAGCCAGTGGATCTCCCTGAACCTTTAAAGAAGCCAGTGGATCTCCCTGAACCTTTAAAGAAGCCAGTGGATCTTCCTGAACCTTTAAAGAAGCCAGTGGATCTCCCTGAACCTTTAAAGAAGCCAGTGGATCTTCCTGAACCTTTAAAGAAGCCAGTGGATCTCCCTGAACCTTTAAAGAAGCCAGTGGATCTTCCTGAACCTTTAAAGAAGCCAGTGGATCTCCCTGAACCTTTAAAGAAGCCAGTGGATCTTCCTGAACCTTTAAAGAAGCCAGTGGATCTTCCTGAACCTTTCAAGAAGCCAGTGGATCTCCCTGAACCTTTAAAGAAGCCAGTGGATCTCCCTGAACCTTTAAAGAAGCCAGTGGATCTTCCTGAACCTTTAAAGAAGCCAGTGGATCTTCCTGAACCTTTAAAGAAGCCAGTGGATCTCCCTGAACCTTTAAAGAAGCCAGTGGATCTTCCTGAACCTTTAAAGAAGCCAGTGGATCTTCCTGAACCTTTCAAGAAGCCAGTGGATCTCCCTGAACCTTTCAAGAAGCCAGTGGATCTTCCTGAACCTTTAAATAAGCCAGTAGAGCTCCCAGAACCAATACAGCTTACAAAAGTAAATCTCCAACAAGAGGCAAAGAAAGTAGAGCTCTCAGAAGAAACGAGGAAAGTAGAGCTCTCAGAAGAAACGAGGAAAGTAGAGCTCTCAGAAGAAACGAGGAAAGTAGAGCTCTCTGAACCAACCAAGAAAGACGAAGAGCCTCCAAAAGAGCTCCCTGAGCCTAAAAGTGAGCCAGTTACTTCAGAAATAGCTAAGGAGCCAGCTGAACTTGAAGAACCAATAAAGCCCATAGAAGAGCTGCCAAAGCCAACGAAATATGAGGACCCAGAACCAACAAAGACTGCAACGGAGCCACCAAAACCAGAAAAGAAGCTGATCAGTGAGCTGCCAGCAGAGGAGCTAGTGGAAGACCTGGCGGAGATCCTACCTGAGGAGCCAATAAAAGTGCCAGCTGAAGAAACAACAGCCACAGAGGCCGTCCAGGATCCTGCTGAGGAGCCGCAGGACAGTGGGTAAGTGCTTTTGTTAATCATGGGATTAACACATAATGAATTACGATGAGTGTTTCCAAAAGTATTTCTTTTAACAGCAAACAAAAGCAACTTCCACTCATTGTCCCACTGCAGAGTTTTCAGTGTAAGCCTACTTTGTGGAGCAATGTTTCCCTACAAGGCTGCTGCCAAGGGACTGTTCTCTTTACTAACTCTGGATTTAAAAAACATGTCCTTGTAATCTTCAATCGACTGAAATCTAAGGATTAACCCCTTTACAACAACATGTTTAAGGGGAGACTGGTCATTTGTGGTTTACTGAGTTCATACAGGAAACCAGACATGAAAATGATTTATAAATGCCTTTTTAGACCCGATAGCTTTCCTAAAACGTATAATAACATTTCCATTACGGTGATTTATCCGAGGCATTTTATTGCAGCAAACCTACTGTATTTGTGAAAAGGAGGACTCTTAGGGGGCCATGTGCTTTACAGCTCAGCAGCTCTGCCTGTCACACATTAAAATGGATTTCCACACGCTTTCAGAGTACCCTCGGTGGCTTTGTTTGGCTTTCATACACCTCGAGGGCGTCTGGTCGCTTGTTGCTGTCTGCAGCGATTTACCAGTGTCTGCTTGGATGAATGAGACGCAGTAAAACCCTTAACGTTATTCAAACTGATGACTAGGATACATATACATACTTAACCAGTGTGGACCTTCATGTGGGCATTCAATATTTATTCAAGCATTTTAAAAGCTCTGGGTAGACCATCTGAACAAATTGTGCAAGGATATGTTGTGAAAGTGTTTTTCCACTGTTTTAACTATGTGAGGAATGTCTTTTGGGATACACTATTGAAGTCAAATCATTGCTGCTGATTTATTTCCACTTGAGCTTCAGCCTTTCTTAGTTATCTGTCTTAATTGTCACTCTCTGCTGCTGTTTGTGGAATGACCAGGAGCCGTCACACATGCCAGAGTAGCACTTGCTGCCTGTCAGTCACAACACTTGTCCCATCACTGCTGTTGGAGACATAGAGGCTTGTCCTAGGGAGGAGGTGTGACAGCGCTATTTCCATAGGTTTCATCAATATATAAAGTTACACTTGGTACCAGAGTTAGAATTGTGACTGCCTGGTCAATGATGTGTGTGTGTGTGTGTGTGTGTGTGTGAGCGTGTACGTGTGTGAGTGTGTACATATGGTTTTTCCCCGCCCCTAGAGGCTGTCCTAGCTGTCAGTCCTGCTCAGTCTGTGCGGCTTTGTGAACTGAAGCCTGTAGTGGGAGGAATTTCGGGCAGGCACTCAGCCCCACTGAAGTCATTTTCACAGACCAGACAGAGTGGAACAAAAGCCAGAGTAAAGAGAAACACTGGAGCATGTGCTGCGGCGTGAGTGTGTGTGACAGAGTCAGTCAGAAGCACAGGCAGAGGACAGAAGGACTGAGACGTACACCCTTTGGCTCTGCTGTTTCTGAGTTCAGAGAAGTCTTTTCCATCAGTTACTTTTAAAACAGCCCTGAAGGCGTGTGTTGGATTCCTCAATGGCTGAACTCTGGGTAAGTTGACAAGAAGTAGGTGCCCTATTTTCTTTGGCGTTCTTGTGTAAGTCCCTCCAGGTGGATGCAACAGATGGTCTGTAGGTAACTATAGTGCTAATTACGCTCTGTCTCTGCTGACCTCACCACATGAGAGGAGGGGAGAGAAACATAGAAAGACCAAGAGGCAGAAGGCAGGAAAAGAAGGAAAAAAGTTGTGAAATGTACCCTGTACTTTAAAAACAATGTAACAGGTTAGAGCATGTTGATGATTCAATGTTGGCGAGACATGCCAGTGTCGAGTACTTATCCTCTGTTAGACTACTGTGTGAGTGTTCAAAAAAGTTATCATAGACTTTTAATTTAAAGAGTAGAATTATTATGGGCATTGCAGAAAATGTTAAGGGAGACTGCTGTGTGACATGCTAATGCCCCATAATACTTTTTGTATAGATGTTACACAACTAGTTCTAATAAAATCTTCTTTAAAGCCATTTCTTCGGTTGAATCACTTTGGGTATGACTGTGACTACTCAGCTTGGTATGTAGGATATTTCTCATCCATGTTTTTAAAGTAAAAGGAAGTAGGATGTGCTATGGCCCACACTGTACTGTAAATAGACTAGTTGCCATGGCAATTGTAGGCTCATGCGGTTCTCCTGCCATACGTGAAGTAGTAAAATCTGTCATTCAACCACACTCTACTGACTTTATGTAATATTCAATCTATGTTGTGGAAGAAGATAATTTGTTTATTATTTAGGAAATACGCGTTTTCAATATATACAATATGTTCTTGATTGTGCAGCGTGTGTGTGTTTGAGGGGACAGTATGAGTTATCTGATGGCTGCACGACAGAAATGGTCCTCATTGTTGCAGCGCTAGAAAAAGCTGTTTTTATTTACAACTCTGTTTATACTCTGTTTACCATTAAACACCCTGCCTGGACTTATTGTCTCTTAGGTCCAGCTGTTTCCTGTAGATTTCGCTAACTGGTGTGTGTTCAATACAGTACAATCAAAGTCCCTTTTGTTTACTCAATGGTCATGAAGGATGAGGTTAGAGAACCAGGTTTGTTATCTGGACTGTGACAGAAAATGACGTCTATGTATCACTGGACTAACCTTCTGAAGAACTGTTCATAAATCTGACTCACCAACAGTACAACACCCTGTATTGCTTTCTGGTGTTGATGCCAACAAAACTGCACTGATGTGAAAACTGCACATGTGCTCCCCCTCACACACTGTTTCAGGAAGAATATAAGTTGGAAAGCTTCTGCTGTTAACCTCAGTGGATCAGCTGTCATTATCCCCACATACAACTCACTGAACCAGTACATACTATGCACTTGTGTCCAGGATAATCTTATTTTCTGCCAATTCTCTCTTCCCCTATGCGCTTGATTTATCTTTCTATCTGCTCCATAGCAGTTTGTGTCCATCTTTGGAGGCAGCAGCGAGTCTTATGACGGTTTGCTCAGACTGTGTTGTGACTTGGTTATTTCTATTTCCAGGGTGCATGTGCCAAGTTGGCCACAGATGCTGACATATGTATAGCTTTGGCCTGCTGGTGTAAGTCACCGACTGCAGATTCGTAATGAGAGGAATGGGACCAAATAAAAATTCATGTATGGATTTGTAGGACATTTTCTTTTCATGCAACCATCCTGGAGCGTTTAGAAAATTATGTAGTTTTAAGATGGGATGATGGGAAACAGACTTGTGTAAGATGTAAACTTTACCTTGCTACGCCCTTAAGAAAAGCACACACGCTCATTAAATGTTATTAAGTTCTGACTTTACTGGAGAGAGAGATGGAGGATAACAGAGCTCAGTTTCAGTGTGAAATGAGCTGGAGAGACGTTTGGAAAATTGCAGCTCAGCGGCAGCAGCCGACCTGATGCCTCACTCCTGTAAATGTGTTTTAGTTGATGGAGGTTTTGTGAAGCTCTGCAGAAGAGGCTACTGGGGTATTTTTAGAGCTAAACAGGAGGCATGCCCCAAGTGGGGAACAGCTGCATGGGCGTCCATCGCATTGCCTGTCAGATTAGAGAGCCTACCACTCCTGATAAGACCAGCCTGGATCCGGGCCAAATCCACTCCACCAGGTGGCCGATGATGACAGAGCCAGACATCTCCATGCAGGCTACTTCACTGCAGGGCACGTACAGCAAGCAAGGGAAACATGGATTTCCATGTAAAGGGACTAATGACAGGGGTTACATGTCATTTAAACGACAAAGTGTTCTTAGGATGTTTGTGGAGAGCATTGTATCTTTGAAGATACTTGTTGGGGAAATATTTTTCTAGGCCCATACCTTTGACCCAGTTGATCAGTTTATACTGCCCTCACTGAGCACCTGCAACCTTGGGCTGCTGTGTTCTCTGTGTTTTGTCTCCCTGTTCCTGCCTGTTGGCGTCAGCTGATAGAGGTGTTATAGTGCTTTATCTTGTTATGCACTATGTTGATTATTCTCTCAGAACTAGCTAAATACATGGGTCTGGGGTAGAGATCTTCAGAATTGGTTTGGCAACCGCCGTGTCACCTGGTGGTGGCAGCAGCACATGTCTTGTCAGTTCTCCGGCCGTTAACTCCAAATAAACCATCAGTGTTTGCCATTACAGTTCCAGCTCTCCCTGTGTCTCTCTGAGTTTTGTCTCCATTGCTTAAGAAGTTTCCAACACATTACTACTAGCTTTAGGTGCATAGTGCTACATGTTTCTCTACTGTCTGCCTTGGTTCATTTCCCTAGAGGGATATGCAGTGTGTTGTCAGCGGGCTTTCCAAATCTCCATACTTGGCCCTCTTGTTTCGGCCTCTCTGTTGATGTTTTGCGTTCCCCTGCAGGTCCTCCCTCACTGAGCAGGCAGAGAGAGGTGACCGTGCCCCTGCGTCTCCCCAACCTCCTGCATCCGAAAACCACTTCCTGCCCGCCCTCCCTCATCACCTCCAAGACACCACAGAGTTCCCCACTCCTCCTCCCACACCCCCGGAGAGACACTCACCTGAAGGAACTCCACCTGCTTCTCCCTGCTTTCCTCCCCCTCCTCCTCCAGCCCTTGCCTCCCCTCCTGTAGCTCCTGTTTCCCAGAGTGAGGACCCTTGCCCTGCCTCTGAACCCTGCCACCCTCCTTTAAGGTATGAACATGAGCTCTGCCTGACTGTCAGCTGACTGTACTTTTCTGTGTTTAAAAATGTGTGTCCAATGTGTTTCTTTTATGACCCTGCTCTGCTTTGTTTGTAATGCCTCACATACGATTTGTCCCGTGTTAATTATAGTCCCTTTAGCCTGTTTGACGAAAAGTAGCCATGTCCTTATCCTTTCAAGCCCAATTCAGGTCAAATTACAGCATTAAATGGACATCTGGCACACTGAATAACCTGTTTGATGTACTCAGGGCTTCAGAACAGAGAGAGAGTTTACTGGAAATGCAATCACCCATTATGTTCCCTTTTTTTTGTTTCTTAAAGAAATAGTTTGTCATTCTAGGAGCTTATGTTTATTTTTTGCAGAGATGGTTGATATCATTCTCAAATTCTACATGGGAAATGCTAGGGCTTACAGGTGTTTAGCTTAGTTTAACATTTGGACACTTTTCTGTGTGGATGATACAAACATGATTTACATTTAAGTGAGTTTAAGGTAGCTGGAAGGTGGATGTAATCAGACAGAGCATTGCCATTCATGTCTACTTCAGGAACTCATAGTAAACAGGATTTTCTATGTATGAACTCAGTGGTTGAAAACTCACATGTATAATTGTGGTGTGTTATTGGTATAGCAAAAGCATCAGGCTGAAATGTTTACTTGTAGATGTTTTTAACATTACAGCATTAAGTATAGCACTTACACACCCACAACCACACAATATGTATTGGCATTTAAGCTGCTTGTGTATTACACTAGTGACTCATAACACTGATGCTGACATTTAAATGTTCTTATTATTTTGCTATCCACACAGCTTCCCTTCTCATAATAATCAACATTCCTCGAAAATCACACCAGGCTTTGCAATTTATCTCAAATACCTACTTTTAAAGAGGGAATGACTCAGCCACTTTGACAGTGCTTGCACTGTCAGTTACAACCAGCAGAGGGTGTTCTCCCTTCAGAGTGCAGTGTTCATGTTGTACGGCCAGCCTGTGTTTGCACCCTGCTGTATGAATGCTGCAGGTATAAGAAAGCAACACAGGGACACACACCTGCTCTCATGTATCTTCCTTAGCCTCAGTGTTGGATGGAAACAACTGTTTGGTTTCTGTGTAGATCATACATATTTTGCTTTTGACTTGATACTCTTTGGCTTTCTATTTGCCTCTGTTTCTAAGAGAACACCAGCATTTTGAGAAGGCAAGGCCAGCACATTTTTGTTATATTATTTATGATATCAGAGAGGACTGTTAGGTAGCGGTTAAAGAGGGGGAAGGGGGGGGGGCTTTCTGACTGGATTTCACACATTACTCTTGTTGCCTGCAGACACACAGGACCAGCTATGCCAAAACATGTGCAGGTGTTAATGGTTTCACTCTTGTTTAATTGTTTTAGAACAAAGCTACATGCAAAACAATGAGCAGTATAACATCACATTTTTACCATTAATAACGTAATGCATTTCCCGTGGAGCTCCTTGATGATTCATGGTATTAGATTATCTTCTTCAAGGGCCCTTCAGCTGGGCAAATGCTTGCCAGCATACGTCCTTGAATCCTCTTTCTAGTTGAAAATTGGCCCTTTTAAAATGTGATAATCAAAACGTTAGTCATCCAAAAACAAACACATACAAAGTGCTGAGTGATTAATTAAGAGTTGCATGAGTAAATTAAATCCCTTTTTATGAGATAAAAAACAACTCAAGGTTCTCCTCTGATGTTGATAATGATTCTTAATTATTCATCTATTAGTAACTCCCACACATTTTGAACTCATGCTTTCAGTCATGAACAAAGCTAACAATTGAGGAGCACATCAGATCTGGCTAGATTCACCTTTAAAAAATCAGCTCAACCCATATCCTTAATTGTGATTATGTATACAGCATTCTCTGTCTTATATTTGACAGTACATATAAACCAATGCATTTTAAATATTTAACAAACTAACTCTCTTGACTTGTGCTTGTGACAAACATGTTCTCATTATTATCTCATCTACAACACATGTCAGTGATTAAGATAATTTGTTGATGGGTATCATAAGGTTTCCAATTTAAGTTCCCTGATTACTCCATTGATCTATTATCATCGACTTTGTAGATACAAAGAGAAACAATATCACATGATTTAAAAATGTATTATTAGGATGTACTTTGAATTAGAGATGCCAGCGATTATTCGATTTTTCTAATATTCGTTACAGTCTCCATAATCGAAAATTATTTTTAAAATTCGATTTTATTTATATATTTTTTTATTATTATTTATGTTTTTCTTTTTTTTCCTGGCTTAGTTTCAACCAAAATATATCGGTCGGCGAATAATCGATTAATATTCGCCAGGGCTGTCCGATTTTCGAATTTGATCATGGTCAGTTTCTGGCATCCCTGCTTTGAATGCACACAGATGACGTTTAAGAGTGAATGTTTTTGAGAAACAGCCTCTGGGAATTCATCCCCTCTGGGATTGTTTATGGGAGCGATGCAGCCTTTTCTTGGCAAACAAGGAACAAAGCTCCAGGCTCTTACTCTGCCTGATCATCAGATGTTCAGAACTGATCACGGCCCAGGGTGTTGTCATAGATATCTATAATACAAATATCTATAATACAGATAACTATAAATAACCAGGATTACTTAAAACATGTATTTAAACAGTATGCAACTTGCAGAGCTTTTTTAACCACCCACAAAGACCTGTGGATAGATCTTGTGATTGCAGTAGCGTGCAATATTTGTCTTGCTTTTGTTGTTTAAATGATCTCAGATATTTGAGTTTAGCAGTGCCGAATTAAGGGGCATACTGTCTGTTTTCGTAGTTTAATTGGAGACTTTACCAGTGATTCAGACTCATAATTTAAATGTCTCGACTATCACAACTCATGTTTTACTTGAACAGTACTGAATATTGAGGTTATATTATTTTGTCTACGGAAATGCTTTGCCAATCTTTCCACTAAGCTTCAATCCACACCCACTACACCACAAATGGTTCCATCACATTCTGCTCAGTAGCATGCACTGTTATATTCAATCCCCCTTGCAGGCTACACATATTTTAAATCTAGTGATTCTGATTCCTTTGGAGCGCTGTTATGAATCTTTCAGAAATAACTGCCACAGCCATCTCTTCCAGTGCCTGAGTTCGTTGAATTTTTTATTTCTTACTTTTCTTCAGTCTGCAGTTGGAACAGCAGTGCAAGGCCAGACTCTTAAAGTAGCGACACAGAGAGGATGTTATTGTCAGCCATACAATAGGGTAGGAATTTGTACTTCACACTTACATTCTTTGCTGCCCTAGATACATCTTTGGGTTGGTATGGGGGTGGTGATGGCAGAAGAAATCAATATTTTTAGGGGTGTATGTTGGGCGTTGTGAGTGGGCAGCTATTTACTTGTCCCCTTGGGCTGTAAAACATCGACCAACAGGCCCATCCGAGACTAGAACACATCGATATTCTTTGTGAACACAAGTTAATGGACTCCATGTTTACATGAAAACACTGCCCCTTTTTAAACGAGTTGTTAGTCTAGGCATGATCACTGGGTTTAGTGTTCTACATGTTACAGTGGAGATTCTGTGTCTTTAGGCCACAGGCGGAGACACTTCACCTGAAACCTGTGTACAGAAAGTTTGTGCGACTTCAATTGCTCCAGGCTGGATCTGCTATTGTGGCGAGGCCTCATTCCCTCACTTTCCCATGAGTGTACAATGGATTAATTCTTCTCATATTTCCAATGCCTCTCTTTCCCATCGTTCCTTGACTTATGATGGGAAATTTGAAGAACCTGCTCTTATTTCCATCCCACAGGACGCATTCCCTGCCCCTGTCCCACACACACAGCCGACAGAATAAATAAAAGGAAAAATTGCACAACATGTCTAGACAGAATATCATTATTGCTCTTCTGGTCTTTGATACAATTCATGGTTTGATGAGAGTGCCAGTAAATTAGATCACCAACCATGCACGCTGTCCAGGGATTTAATCCCAGAGACTGAATTCATTTAGAAATGTAGCATATGTTCATATCTCTTAAGCCACGAATGACACCTCTGAATTAAGCTTTTATGCTCAAATGTGTGCTTATGTCTAACATGTTGATGTGTTATCATAATTCTCCTTTAACATGTAATATAGGATTTTAAAGTTGGAGTTATTTTGGTCTAATATTGTCTGTTTTGTGAATGCAGGCTGGTAGAAAGACTTGCTTGAATGAAAGAGAACATAATAGGGTCAGATTTGAATAGTACACACCAATACTCGTTTCTCAGAGTCTATTGTTTACCTCAGGCTTCACTCTGGTTGGCCACGCTGAGTGCTGGAAGCTTCCATTGTGTGAAAAGGAGGCACACACATGACATTTTCACTGGGCAAGTCACTGGGTGAGAGATGGGGGAAGACAGGCAGGCTGGCCATGTACTGTTGCCATAGGAGGGTGTCAGAAGGGGGCCGACAATGTGAAAGAGAAAGCCCCTGCTCGTCAGTGGGGTTTTTGGGGGGTCTGCTATTCTTTGGCTCGTGGTAGCGGATGAGAAAAAAGCTGCTTGTCTTTTTAAAGGCACAGGAGGCTGGAGTCAGGGGAGAGAGTGGAGGGGGGAGGAGGCAGTGAGAGCAGCAACACAGCTCAGCAATATCAGAAGCAAAACACAGAGGAGGTACCTCATGCAAGACGGCAAGAAAGCAGGATTGTTATTTCATCCTTTTTGTTTTGGATTATTCTCTTTTTGGCATTTTTGCTCTTAGGGATTGCATTCCTTCTGGTGTTGCATCATTTTACCACCAAATGAGGAATATTCCGGGAAGCAGCACCGGCTCAGGGATGCTGTGCAGACAGTGAGGAGCCTTTAATCATCCGCTGCTTTGCTCCTGATGTGAGCGACTCATCCTCTGCACTGCAGCACAGCAACGCTCAGCCGCCGCTCACCTCCACGGACGCAGGCTGCCTGCCTCCTCGGCAACAACAGCGACAGGAGAGGTT